AGATGATGCTGTCGGTGACGTCATCAGCGAGGCGTTGTAACTCCACATAGTACCAGTGAGAATACGATGAGTAGGGCGGGATCTTGAAGGTATTTCCACATGTGAAAGCTCAAATTGCCCAGCTTCGTACAGATCTCGCGATCGGTGCACGTAAAGCTCACTCCTTTTCCCCGAGTTACTTTAAAGTGACGGAGGTGGATGATGCTGTTCGTCCATAGTGCGGACTTCTGATCAGCCCCCAACGAGGTCATGATCTCCGTGTCCGAAAACGTGAAGGCCAATCTCGCGGGAATCCACATGGAATAGCACTGATCGCTGATAACAGGCGTGGGCACGCCACGTAGCGCTGCTGCCTTTCGCTCGTTCAGCTCCCGCAAAAGTTGCGTCCGTGGGGATGGTCACTTATTGGCGTGATGGGTTTGCACGCCATTGCTTACGCCACTCGATGCTAGCGGCTGAGGTCTTCCTGATGCAGAGGTAGATCAACTTGATATTTTATGTTCTTGAGATGGATAATACAGGGTGCAGATGGTCTTCAATCAGTGTAGTTTTTTGTTATATTTTTCTTGAGATGCTACGTTCGACTGCGTAGTCGCGTAGAGTAGAATGTCAAGCTCTCAAGCTCACCTAATATTCCCAGGGACCACTCACAATGAGACAGTATAGAAAGTAGTAGGCAGCACCTGAAGAGTCAAAATCAGAGTGCGAAGCAAACCTCAATTCGCGGCAATTCCGATATGCATACTTCGGGAGAGCAATAGCACTCACAAATGAAATCTATAAGTTCAATCTCACCAACAAGCGTGGTGGACGAGTCTGATTACAAACCACGCCGTGAAAAGCACTGGGTCTTCAACCAAACTCACAGAGGTCAACTGCGTGAGCTAAGGGACGGTCTGGAACAGGCGGTCGATTGGTACCAGCTGGCGGCAGAGAGTCAATAGCAAGCTTGGGCTTGTCTGTCGACTTGTGAGGCAGCTGGCAAATTGGAAAGTTAGGGAGTCTCCACAGACCAAACACCGTCGGGTGCTTACACGCTGCCCGGCCCGCCTCCCCGTCCTCAGCATAGCTAAGATTCATCGGCTCAAGCCCGCTCGATAAGCTGCTAGAGTGAGCATTCCAACCAAGTCGTGCCGACTTAAAGGTGAATTCCGAATTCAATGCCGTGTTTACTGTTTCTTCAAACGAAGACGGGTGCACATGGAAGACTACCATGTTGGCCACGCCAGTGCGGAGACCCTCCATAGAGACTGTCACCGTGACCGCATCGGGAAGAGATCGGCCCCCATCCCGGTAATGAGAGTACGGAACCCTTGGACAAAGATCACCAATTCATTTTTACACTCGTGAAAGCTGCAGCTTCATTCCGTCCGGGAGGGAAATGCCGCTTCGACAGAAATGCCGCACGTCAGTGCCCATTGCCGCGCTCGACCCCCGATATTGACGATAGCTAGCGCCACGCGCTGTTGCTAACTCTGGAGCTTGACGGACGCCATGGCCATCTCGACCTCTCTCACCCAAAGCAGAAGAGTCTCTCCATCCTTGCCCTCGAAGGTCTTAACGCTCACCATGAGTGGCTTGGGTCGTGGGAGGAATCATTCTTCGCCGATGCTGGTGTCATGGACGCAGTCGACGCCGACATCTTCTGCTATAGGGGCTCTAGCAGAGCATTTTCATAGCTTGAGTACGCCTCTCGGCGCTCGCTGGTTGTTTCAGGTCCTTGCGAAGCGAGGTGTTGCACGTCCTCAGAGCCAAGTAGAGACATCAGCTTTTGAAGCCTGTTTTGCATGCCCTGGGGCGAATAAGAGAACTGTCCATCCTTACAGAGGGTCAGTCGTAACGACTCAGGTATAGATGGACTACTAGTGCTAGCAAGTGCTGCGGGGCTGCCGTAGCTCTTTCGCTTAGAGTAAGCTTGTTGAGGTCGATGAACTTTGTTCTACATTTTGAGCCAGTACGAATGTAGCAGATCGCAATCCACTTACCCCAAGAGGAATTACAAGCTTAAAACAAGGCTTATCAACTTTTCCGTTACGTGAACTGCATTTCTTGGTTTTATTTGCGGCAAAGTCTAAAATAATCTAATTAAAATGCATAAATACTGGCAGTCCAGTTACGTACTGACTTTTTGTTTAAGTTTAGCCACACCGTTGTATGTTATATATGTCATCTTAGCGTGTATGACCCAAGCCCTTCATACCAGGACACTTTGAATCCCGTTACAGGCTGGTACTTACCCAAAATAGAACTTTCGAGACCAGATCTGGATATTTTCGACGAGGAACAACTAATATATATATAACTTCATCGCATTCTCCTAATTGCTCCACTATTGATTTTGCTATTATACTGACATAAAAACTGCAGTATCGAACCAATGGAAGGTTGTCTTACTAAAAACGTTTCATGAATTTTTCATTAAAAAATTATGTCGCTATCTATCTGACAAATAGGTTGTCGGAGAATGCGTTAACATGTAGGTATACTTGGGAGACGTATCAGTACACACTCATACCCCTCAAAATACCAAAGTGTGGTAAGCTCAGACTTTGTGGTAGTGCGAAACAATTATTTTTTATCATTAAATTACACCTACTTAGAATATGACTATTCGCAAAATGGCAGATCAAAAAATCTATGCTGATCCAGTTCAAAGACCAAAAGTCATATAAGTTCACGAAAGTGAACAGCATCATGAAGTCAAAAACGAAGTTCTATTCTAGGAAATCGGAATAATACAATCTATTAAAATGAAATGCAGTAAAGATGGAGAGAACTAATACCTTTGTATATTTGAAAAGCACATGTTTGCTTTCAATACAGCGCTGTCGCTCTTGAGATTTGTCGCGCCTCGCGCTCGAGATCTAGAAGTAAATAGTGTGAACATATGAAAAAAGCAAAAAACATCATATTGCCGAACATGTTTGATCCTTTAAAAATAAATATAGTCGTTACCTCTTAACTGACCTGCTTTTGACACGTATATAGCTTTTAGTAAATAAAAAAATGGGTAAAAAAATCGAAGAAAGATTTCACAAAAAAATCTGTTGTATTTCTAAGGCTATATCAACAATGCAATAAAATAGGCAGAATTTTTTTTTGGTGTTCTGCAACACAAATGTATAAGAAGTCACGATTTGCCTATTACGCTCTAAGCAGAGAGACTAAGCACGTAGGGCTTCAACTTTACCGAATATCTGGATAAATCTACTTTGCACTCTATATTGACTTGATTTTTTAGGTTTCGAAAGAGCGTAAACATTTTTGGTGCGCTAATTTATTTAACGAGCAACTTTATATTTAGCAAATTTTAGGTAACAAAGAGCGCTCATTTTTTTATATCGGTTTGACCGTCATCCACATGGCCAATGAATAGTCCTGAAATATATCATATTCACTTTGACGATGAGACTTACGTCAGGGTAAATGCAAAAATATGGTGGATTAACATTTCAAGCAAGGGTTAAGTCGTCGTGACACACATATCCTTCAGAGAGAAAAAAATTGCATGTAATATACGCTTCAGTCATATGAAAGAGCAGATTATTGAGTTGCACCATGTTGAGCAAAACTTTCCAATTCATAAAGAATCATACATATAGGTTGTCGGTTGTTAAGATATCTTAAGCCGCACTTCATGCACGTATACTACGAGTCCATCCGAGACAGTAATTGCCGTTGCTAGACATGAAATATCAAAGTGTTAGAGTAGAAGTATCCTGGCTGCAACGCTTGACTGGATGGTGTTCACCTTAGCTTGCGCCCTATATTTTATAGTCAATTTGTGCACATATTCCCTCGCGATAATAATATCATTTATCATTTAGATTGTGAATACCATCCGAGTAGGATGCGAGGAATACGGTTGGTTTAAAGAGGTCGCAATAAGCGAACAGACACGGGTGTCTAGATCTTGAATTTATACAAACTATACGTGTTCCTACTCTTAGTGTAATAAATTGTCGTTCGATTGAAGATTACATGATAAGTTCCTCTCTAAACTGATTTCGTATGTCAAAGCGACTTTTTCTGCATTTGCCCCTTACATCATACAGAAACACAAGACATGCCAAATTCATGAAACTTCCCTTTTACACAATTTTTTACAACATTGGTAGAAAAATCACAAAATGTCAATTTGACTAATACTTCAGGATATATGCGTGCAAATCCACGATTTGTGTCTGGCTCAAACTTTACGTGCGTACGTCCCCCATCGCAATGACCTTCTTACAATTATTCAACAATAAATTCCCCGATCACACATGAAATGCATACACCAATGAGTTTGCTCTATCCCAAGAAAAAACGCTGTTCAGTATCTCACTGTTCCTTCAACAACTCCTTTGTCACAGATGCCAAGATAAGTGTAAAAGTCCTTTCGAGCTCATGATTAGAAATCGGATGTGTATGTGTAACATATTACGAAATATGCAAAAAAATGGTAGCTTTTTACGAAGTGTAATGTTTCAGTATTCATAACCCACTAGGTGTTCAGCAGAATGCCATTGGAATCATTCTTCCATTTGCGCAGTCGATCACAACTGCATCGACAAGTACACGATGCATCTTTCCAATATTCTACTTACCTTTGCGGCCGCTGTTGCAGGCACTTCAGCTGGGTTGCCTCAACAACAAGGTAATTCTCAAGTGCTATTATTCGCTGGTTCCTACACTCGCGACGAAGGCTGGGTCAATGGAACAGGAGCTGGTGTTACCACCATTAAATTCAATCCGGTCGACGGCTCTCTCAAGATCTGGGCATCTACTGCCATTGGTAATAATCCTCGATACGTCGTGGGAACGAAAAAACCTTTTGAAACGGGTGAGCGGGTCATATACGTTATCAATGCTGTCACTGAGGATTCCGTGAAATACCCAGGAACCCAAACTGGTTGGGTATCAGCTCACACACTAAAGAAAGACGGCAAGCTTGAACACCTCAATACGCTTGAGACCCGTGGTGGAAGTCCAACGCACATTTCATTGAGTCCAAATGAGGATTTCTTGATCGTCTCTAACTACCAAGGCAGTATCACGATGTTTCCGCTAAATTCCGACGGATCTCTTGGTGCTGATTCTTATCATCAAGAATATAAAAAAGGAAGCGGAGTCGCTCCCCCTCAAACTAATGGCATTCTTCACAGTACAACGTGGGTTCCTGAATCCAACCACGTCATCGCTGCTAACCTTGGCAGTGATGAGCTGTATCTGTTTGAACTTGATGCGAAAGACCAAGATCTAAAGCTTTTGGAGACTGTAAACCGTCCACCTGGATCGGGACCGCGTCACATGGCGATCCGCCCTGACAAAAAGTTTGCATACGTTGTGGATGAGATCGGAAATACTGTGGGTGTATATGCCATTGACAAGACGACGGGGATGCTTTCGACGACTGCTCTGCAGAACATCACGACTCTGCCTGCGGGTTATAAGGATGCCACCACCAGCGCTGATATCCACATATCAAGCGATAACAAGTACTTGTACACATCTAACCGTGGTCACAATTCTATTGCAATGTACAAGATTGATGGCATAGCTGGAACGCTAACACCATTGGGCTTTGAAAGCACTCGCGGTAAAATTCCTCATGGCTTCACAGTTTACGGCAAGTGGCTCATTGTGGCAAACCAAGACTCAAATAACATGCACGTGTTCGAGATCAGCGCGAACGGCCGCCTGAAATACTCAGGCCACTCACTTGATATCGGTACAGTCGTGTGTTTGTATGCCACAGAATACAACATCTAGATGGCGATTAAACAAGAACAATCTCTGATTGTAAGTATCGATCAGGAAACTATTCCACTGTATGTTGTGCTCATGTACTTGGTTAGTAGTTGCATTATCTTCGGTGTGTATTAATTAGTTTACATTACCAAATATATTGCTGCAAAATCACTTTGAGAGTTGAGGACGAACTTTATTCGATTGTGTGACTTGAGACTAAATGTTCAGACTACGTAGCACGGCAACAATTTTGATACTTGTGCTATGTTACAGTGTTACTGCTCAATAGGCAGAGCTCGTAGCAGCATATCGAAAATGCAACTGAAGCTCATTGACAGCACGTTTCCACAATCCACACATGTTAGTCCGCCAAAATCAAGCTTAGTATCCGAAAGATAAGAGTGCTGGTAGTAATTCCTCAGAGATCACCCGCTACAGTGTTGGCAAGAACAATATGCCTTCATTAACACATATAATTGCAACGGTTGTAGCGATTATCAAAATGCCAAAGCCCTTGTCCTAAATTTTTACGATTTGCTGTTTCATTTGTTTGTATGACGAAAAATCGGCGGTTGCTTTTTAGGCATGTAGCTCTGGCTCACGCCCAGCCACTCAGGATGAAACTGCGACTGCTGAGACTGATCTGCAAGAGATGGGACTGAGAAGGTGCCCTTTTAAGCTATCCTTCATAAAAAAAGACAAAAGTTGATCATGCAGTCTACAAAAGGAGACTTGGTATTTGATTGACAAATCTACATTTCTTTGTTTTATACAATGGAAGGATATGTTAAGTGCAGCACCTAATGATCTTTGTAGAAACGCATGAAGTGCATAATGTATTCAACTCCAGAGTTTTTATATGCTCTTCAGCCAATTTTGTCCATGTTGCGCCACTAGTCTTTGGACCAGTCGACTTGCGCAAAAATTGCATGCATTCAACCCCAACTTTACCCAAACAGAGACATTTGCAGTTAAAATGACGAAATGACCTCCACTTACCACGTGGTGGAGTGACGTTACGATTCCACATTACAGGTTGCAGAAGGCGAGTATGGGAAGCTCGGTCTAATCTTGATCCATCAAAAGAAGCAATTGGCTGCTCGAAGACCAAAGGCTTTTAATGCTCGCCAGGTGGCGCCCAACAGCTAGAAAGTTGCGCTGGTGAGACATCTCCAGTTACTCTCCGACCAGTCATCAGTAGGAATACAGCCAACCCCCCACCGTAAGATCGCTGATGTTAAGCGTCTAGCCCGTTGAGGACAAAAATTAATTTCTTTACCTTTTCAGAAAAGAGAGGATGGAATGACATTGAATTTAGACTTGCTCCGAAAGTACCTTCAGCGTGTCGGACTAGTGGAGAAAATATAGGCGCTCAAGTGAGTAACTCTGTGAAAGAGATATTGCCAACATAAGCAGTAAAGATGCGACAGATGCTGTGATAGATTTCGTGTACGGTCGAAGTTCGTGTCTACCGTCAAGAAGTGTGACAATAACTACAATAAAAAAATTCGCAGTCGGTATGGCCACAAACCGACCCTCTACCAGACAGAGTAATGCTTACCAACTTCATGGAATGGACCCGCACAGTTGTCGTTGATTTTCTATATATCGATATAGCTATGGAGTTTATGATTAATGATAAGCACAATTTTCGTGCCGTGAGGTACAGTGGGAGTACGAGAGGTGAGGACTCAATATCTGCGCCAGAGGCACTGGCCTCAGCCAAGCTTAAGAGAAAGAGAGAAATCTCCTAGCTCCCGCAATATATGTACATATTAAATACTGATGTTGTTCGTGTCTTCTCTTTTCTTGGGGGAGAGTGGAGTTCTCAACCTTGATTGATTGAGAAACCCCTTGCGAAAAAACGTTGAGTTTTAGGAGAGACAGGGTTACTCTATCAAAACTGGGAGATTTTCATCTCATGAAGTTCGGGGCCACACTGGTCCGATTCTAATAATATGAGCTTTGTCCAACAGTAGGGACACAAGATGCTTGATTATCGCAATCAACGTCTCACACTATGTGACGTACTGGGAAGTCCTGACTGAATAAAGAGTGTACAATTCAGCACCACGTGCGATGTGAAAGTACTAGAAATGACGCGGAACGCGAATATGATATATATGCGCCTTGCGACGGGGCTGTCGAAGCCTCTGCTGTTACTTAATGAAAAATTTAAGATGTTAACAGTGTGGAACATTGTCTCGTCCCAGATAGGTATGATCTCATCCGAAATATGGCTGCAAAATGCCATCAATTTACCGGAAGTCAAAGTGCAAGTTATACGCTATTCTCTCGATCGAGCCTTGATGAGTCATAAATCCACCTCTATCAAGAAACCGGATCGTTTTTGACATGGGCATAACGCTGCTTAAATTTGACGTTACGTTTTTGATCGCTGTGATGTGTTTCATATCATGGGTTATTTTGCTGCAAGGACACCGTTATCAAATTTGAATTTACTTAAGCTGATTGCAACAAATACTTTGTCAGCATGGATCCATTATCTGATCGAGGTTGGCGCTGTCGAGTGAATTTTGGCAATCTTTGTTCAAGACGCTTGGAAATAGTTTGGACATATCCACCGCTAATTATCTAGAACAAATGGTCAAACAAAACACGCTTGTCGCGAGGTGAAGAATATTATTCATACCACTTGGATATAAAGACCGCAGTACTGTAGCGAGCTGCTTCCCCGTATTAGTTCGCACTGAATACCTCATTATACCTCTACAGACCTACACCATTTTCACATAAAAAATTTGCTCAGCTCTTATGTATCCTCGACTTCGACACGCATTGGCTCCGGTCTTAGTGATGAAGTGTTTGAAATCGATTTGATTTGCTGATATCACTTTTTTGCAACACTTTGTTGAAAATCGAAGATTTATCCTGACGAGAGTAATAATATAGCGCTAGGTGCAGGACGCTATGGCTGAGTGTCAGTAGGTGCAAATACAACTTGCCGTTGTGAAGAATTTGAACTGAATTAAACTGATTTACAAAACTCTGTTCACCTTCCCACGTAGCGTCTGCAGGAGAAAAGAAAAAAGTATGACTTCGATATATCGGGCCATTTACGACTGAAGGAGAATGAGACACACGTCAAAAAATATTTTGCGTTCTTTGTGGGCTTGTTAAAACCATATCGTGATCTGATATTTCGAGCCATTCGGATTTGTAGCGCTTTATTGAAGATGAAGCAATCCCTTATGTCGTCCATTTCAGAGCAGCGATACAGTGCTGGCCTTCGTATGATATCTCAATTCAGGTACTGCATTCGTAAATCAATAGTACTATTAGCTGCATGTAAGGATAGTCAAATATAGTCGACGTGCCACCGTATTCGACAGCGCCAACGGCAATTAGCCACAGCGAGGGGGTCGTTCTTTTCTGTGGTCTGCACAATATGTTTACGGGGGGGGTGTCCATTTTAATGTAGAGAGTAAAATTTACCGGCTGGCTCATTACTTGAACCTGATGAAGTGAAAGGGTACAAATTCATAGAAAAAATATTTTACTTTGCAAGATTCTATTGTCGCTCTCTTTGTCTGCTCGGCGGAAACCACCTACCATCAGCTAGTTGGATCTGGCCTTGATTTGCGACTTGTCTAGTAGTTGTACCTGCAGCTGTTGACATCAAGAACTCGCAACGATGAGCATCCATCTCGTCGTCCAAGTCGTCCTTAAAATTTCTATTATCAAGCAGTCAATGACGAATAGACTAACGTCTGCTTACCTGATCTGTCATTTAAATTTGCGGAACGGATGAGGCAATGTGCCTTTTTCATTCAGTGTCAAATTGAGCGCGGTAGTCGTTGTCATTTTTGCTAGCATCAGTATCAGACACACAATCCTACGAGCTAATCGGACCCCTGCGATCCTGCGCTTGTAGACGGACGAACGTGGCTTGATAAGCCAGGTCCATCCACTTCGTTCCCAGCTGGACCTCGCCCTGAGTTCTATGGCGGGATGTCGTAACACCCTTCGCGGTAGAAAATAGGCATGTAGCTCGGAACTGTGCAGCGGTGAAGCAAAACGTTGAAAGCGTCTCAAGGTCATTGAGCAGCGTTGTTATATGGGCCTTGAAGAGCAAAGGCGATGAAACGGAACTGAGTAATTTGATGTGACTATTCTTTTAGATAAACATCTCGGCTGCCTAATCGATTATAGCTGGTCGTCGGCTGCGGAGGCCACGGTTTTCTTAAGATTTATCAAGTCATGTGCTACATGATTTACGATTGGTAGAGTGGTCTCGGTATTGGAATGGGTTGTGAGTGAGGGCGCAAATATGTGCAAGGGATCTTCGACCTTTCAGCATAGTCGTAGCTTTTCAGTATACCATTAGGTACGCGATTTTGAACAAAGACTTTAATGATTGTGACCCCAATGAGCTCTCTTTTTGCGGTCGGGTGTAAAGGGTAGGTGTCTTAAGGTTGAGATCGGTGATAACCATTTTTTATGAAACAGACCTTGGGGGTAACTTCGTAAGGAAGAGGTTTGAGGAACGTGGGCCTGGTTACACGATTTACACTACACAGGGTTTGTTAGCTGGTGAATCGTACATACTTTGTAGCATTTTAAGCGAGACTCAATTTGAAATATATATCGTTTTTAATATATGCAAACTTAGGACTTGATACATAAGTTGCTCTTGGTTTGACACATGGGTACCACGTAAAAATTCAACTTCTTCGCGTAGATGAACATAAAAATTTTCGGTCAAAGCTCTCGCTGTGTGGGGTCCCATTCTGTCGCTATTACGGAGCGATCAGCTTAAGAATCTGCTGCTTTGTAAATTGAAAAAGTAGTCAGTCATCAGATAAATGTATGTTTAAGGGAACAGATTGACCGCCAAATGATGCTTGAAAGTGCTATCTTAGGCTTGAAAGATAGGCTATAGTAAAGTGGTGAAAGAACAACCTTGATATTCAACGTCGTCAAAACGCAAAATGCTTATCCCAAAAAGCTAATGGCTCCTAAATTACAGACAAATACGCGAAGAATCATAGATCTTGATGAAAGATGCATATGTATACTAACAAAACTTTTTAAATCAAGGACTTCGATCTATGGAATTGAACTCGGATATCCTCAAAATTGTTTAGAGCCCGTGCTTGGAATCTTAGTGATGTAACCAAATACAGTCGTCCCTCGGATAGCGTAACTCATCACCTCGTATATCTAATAAATGTTTAGTAATTACTCATAACTGGTCGGATAACTAATAACCCTGACTAACTGATAGATATTTTTTAACCGCATTTATTAGTTATCCAAGAGACGACGTCCCATCACCCTGATACTTCGCCATCAAGCTGAATAGTGTGATGTGTCCGTAACACCATTATAGGCACTGTCCGATGACAACTTCGATTCCTTTGGTTGCTGGCGTGTGGAATACCGGATCCTTAAAATTAATATGATCTAACACTCAGTGTGTGTGTCTTATACTATTCCTAATTAGACGACAGCATCTCGCTCAATATTAGTGTTTGCCCGTGTTTGACTTTGTTGCTAGAGAGCTTAATACGCTCGTTTGCGCTCTGCTCTGATTATCAAATGCACATTGCGATAAACTGAATAACATCTTTACCTCAAGGAGACTACTGGACAACAATGTTTACGCCTTAAGGAACAGCTATTGACACTGGAGGTTATTTGATCACATACAAAACAAACAAATTGCTTTTCGAGAAATTTGGAATATAACTGCTCATAATCAACGAATGTCGCCGTTCAAAAATGGGTTCATTGATTTAGCCTACATACATGCTTAATGTTGTTGCGATAGAATTTAAACTTGCATTGTCTTGGGGAACTAATCAACAGTACCATCAAAAGCTGCAAAACCCATGATTACTTATTGCGACTTCTGTTGTACTTTAGTGAGAGCAACTTCCCATTTTGTATGAAGCGTTTCGAGACACACATGCAGCTGAATAGTTCGAGGATCGAACTCGAAGGCATGCAAAGATCTGTTCTATTTCAGGTGCTATAACTAGCGTTGACCGTAATTTTAGGTCTTTAATTAGTCGACATAGGTGAGCCTAGTGTCAAGACTTTGTCGAGATGCACTCCCGTCTTCATCAACGTCATTATTACCAACACTCGTTTCTTGTACAACAGAGGCCCACTGTGCCATTTTTTTCATGCCATCAATTGTCAATAGTTCCACAAACTCTGGATGTGCCTGCCAAGCGAACATCCACTCGTGCTCGCAAATATTGTCATCTTGATCGAGATCAACTTCGCGAAAGATCTGGTTCACGGCGAGAGGAATGTCGTTCTCCACCTCTTCCATCAGCTTTTCAATAGCCTCAACACTGCTCGCCATAGCAGCATCTTGGACCGTAGAAAGTTTTTCCACATGCTCGTTCACCATTTGGAGGTGCACTTGGTCACGCAAAAGCTTCGGAAACAGCCTCTTTACCGCGCGAATTCGTTGCTGCATTGCTTGGGTAAGTTCCTCACGGGTAATTTTGCCATCCCCCCTTTTGTTGACAATATCAAATAGGCTATGCGCCTTCTGCTCAAACGTGCCTTTAGTCATCAGGTACACACCCACCACAAATTCGTCGAGCGACAGCCAATCTTTTGGTGTAGCATGGGTCTCAAAGCTCGAAAATACTGCTCCAGCTAGTGCAGCACTCTCACTGATGTCTTTAAGATCTTCGTACTCGTCGCTTAAAGCCATGCAAGCCGCTGTGAACCCTCCGTAATAAAGTTTACCGTCTTTATCTGCGTAATCGTTAAAGACAGCAGCCAAATCACTGTAGGTTTGAGCCGAGATCCCTCCTTTTATTTGACGCGATGCACTTGAATTTGTTGAGTCTTCTGCAGCTTTTTCCCCGGGTTCCAATACGGCAGATACAGTGTTTAAGACATTGTTGTCTGTGCTCTTCTTGGTCTGCTCTTTAGACTCTTCTGCTGGCGTTGCAATTTCTGCCTTTGTAGAGTTATTGGACTCTGGTCGTGGTGATGTTCCATAAATCTTTCGTGCACGACCAATAAACGCATTAAGTTGAGTACGAGCAATATCATCGAAGAAAAGCTTGATGGCATTTGAGTGCAAAAACGACGAGACCTCAAAAGTCACTTTAAAGTCCACTTCGCAGCTTCCAGGCGTATCACAGGGCTTGAAAAGCCACTCGCTGTGTATCGAGCACAAACATTTAATCAGCGACACATGACAACTTATTCTTGTCGAACAAATTTGGATGCCAACCTGTCGATTCGTTTAAATGTTGGCGAATCAATCGCTTTTGTCGCAATTTTAGAAGGCCTGCAATGCATATTTATCGTACAATGATACATGGATGATGCAACAATCAAATCATAAGTACCCATGAATAAAACTGAGTTGTCAATAGCATGGTCCTTCCAAACTACAAATTTCCGCAAAAGACGCACCGGATCATGAAAACGCGAGATGTGTAGGACTCTGTAAAGATCTTAAAGCCCACACGAAGAGCTGCTTCCATTACGTTCTCATTCGGTGTCCGCAGCACGCGCGATTCAACACAAAAAGGCAGAAATTCACTGTAGCGAGCTACATCGGCTACAACGTCAAACATTTCTTGACAAGAAAAAGGTACAACGCGCTTTTCTGTGTGTGACTTGACCAGCGAGCGAGAAGGTGATGGGAAAAGGAAGAAAGAAGCACGGCTGATAAAGAACGGACTTCTGTTCATCTGCATACACAGACGACGCTGATGCAATAGCATCGCCATTTTCTTAATTTCGCAATAAGTGAATTAGAGTTGAATCGTGGAATTAATGCTACAATTTTAAATTTTACAGTTAAAAGATCTACGTTTTGACGCTAGCTTAAAGAACGTAAGGAATGTACGAATTCTATTTTGAATGCATCCATAGAATCAGTTGATACACTGCAACTGTCCATATCGTGACTGTCCGATTGTAGCGGTATCGTGTAGAGAGCTTTATATTCATGTATGGGGCATCGATACGTGAAAGTAATGAGCAGCGCGAAGTTCATCAAACCTTGCGTCTTTAATGCCGCAGCAACGATTAAATGTTGTGTTCTTATCGTAAAGTTGATCATTCAAGGCAGGAGTTAAAGCACCCATGAATCAGCTTAGCATGCTTTGTTGCCTGTTCTAAGACTTTTAATCAGAGACGCTGAACACTACTTAAAGCTAAATTATCTTAATCGCACACTACTGCACGATAATTCACTTTACCGGCAGGCATGAAGAGTAATGCTGTTGAAAGTCGACGGTCTTGTCACCCATGACTCACATTACAAAGTTTCGACAATCCTCGCAGGTCTGTCCACTTTAAAACTAGTACGAACAGTCGATTAATACTTTAACGCCAGACGACTTGATCTATTCAAATCCACGATCGAAGATTCCCTATGTCTCCAGCTCAAGATGGTGTTTGCATGCTGTACACCATCATATGATACAAATATGAACCAGCGGTTCTTTGATTGCAGCTCGGCCAATAATGTGATCCCGACAATAATTTGAACCCGATGGTCGGTGACATGTGGACCGCGGTACCATAAATGTTGTAAGCAAACCCGGCAATGAAATCAAATCATTAGTCAGAAGGCATGCCCACCATTGTGCTAGCCAAAAATTCGCAGCTGTGCTCTCGGTGCCTTCTCTGTGATTGAGATCAACGCGGGTAGATGGCAGGAAGTAAAGTTTGATGAGGAAAAAGTGACAGCACCAGATAGAAGGTTGCTGCATTAGACAGGAGAATGTCTTGTGCGTAGCCGAGCTGCGTCTTGGTAGTCCAACTGGTAGTTGAATCCAGATTGCTAAATGAGATTAAACTTCGTGCACACAGTCGCCCGTGTGACAAACCCACCACCTTCATCTTAGGCTTATCACAGACCTAATGATTTGTCCTGAGCCAGCACTTCATGCGATGAATCTATTAAGCGACGCAGAAAGATGCAAATTACACATCAAATTTCTACATCGGCGTCATCAGAATATCACTCGCACGAATCGAGTCGAACATGAAGCGATCTGGTGCCTTAAAGTGTACTCCAATTGAATGTGGTAATGATGCATAAGACTCATACAGCATTCTTTTAACCTTCAAGGTGTTGTATTTTTTCTTTTACGTGAATATTGGCTACTTGCTACGATACAGCATACTTACTTTCCGCGCAAATATCAAAAGAAAATCAAATGTAGTAGCGAGAAACATATAAGCAAACAGCCGTGCCGATCTCGTAGGAATTTCCGGTATATTCCAAAAGTCCCGTTTCGCAGTTGATTTTGAAGACGTGCATGTTGTTAGAGTTCTGATTTGCCACTATAAGCCAGTCACCATAAACTGTGAAACCACGAGGAGTTTTGCCGCGAGTGCTCTCGAAGCCAAGCAATGTTAGTGTACCGCTCGATTCATCGACCTTGAACATTGCAATAGAGTCGTGTCCACGGTTTGACGTGTACAAAAAATTGCCGTCCTTGGAAAAATGAATATCAGCACTTGTGCTGGCATTTGTGTAGTTTTCCGGGATTATCGAGATTGTCTGACATGCTTCGCTCTCAAGTAAAGTCGTTTTCAGATTAATGGTATACACACCCACTGTATTCGAGAGCTCATCGACAACATATGCAAATTTTCCCGAAGGGTGAATTGCCATATGACGCGGTCCAGATCCAGGTGGTCGACGCACTGCCCCGAAACTAGTCAAACTTTTGTTCTTCTTGTCAAGTTCGAACTGTAGAAGCTCATCGCTACCAAGGTTGGCAGCGACTACGTGATCGGAATACGGTAACCACGTGGTACTGTGGATGTAGCCCCGGTCCTGACGATCCGGAACAACTCCACTTCCTTCTAGATAATCGTTAAAGAAGGAATTGCTTGCAAGAGATCCATCGTCTTTCAGTGGAAACATGGCAATACTGCCACGATAATTGGAGACAACGACATAATCCTCATAATGACTCAACGAAATGTGTGTTGGATCTTCACCGCGACTCTCGAGTGAATTGAGAAGCGTGAGAGTGCCGTCACTATTTAAAGTGAGAGCTGACACGTATCCTGTCTTCGTCCCCGGGTATAAGATAGAGTCTTGATGGACTGAATTCACGACGTAGACGACGCGCTGGCCATTGCTGAAAGTCTTACTCGATCCCACGACGTAAATAGGATTGTCGCCAAAGGGAGTAGCCGCCCACGCCTCAAGAGAGCCGTCATTCGTGTTAAATTTGTACGTATAGATTCCAGCTCCCGTGCCATTGACCCATCCTTCGTCTCGGGTGAATGAACCAGCGAACAAGATTACTTGAGAATTGTGTTCTTCTGGTGAAGAAAACCCAAGTGATGTACCTCCAGCTACGGTCGCGAGGCTCAGAAAAAGACTTGACAGGTGCATCTTACTAAACGTGATTGCCTAGGGGGAGTTTAGCAAAAGGAGGAATGATGCGTACTGCTCACAACATAAGATTGGATGATTCGCTCGTTACAACCGGCGTAAACATTGTTTCTTCTTATCATTTATCGCATATGTGACATCAATGATAACAATATAATTGGTCGATCATGGACCTGGTGCTATACCAAACCCAAGCATGAATGACTGCGGAGCCACTTTTTAGATCTCACCTATACCGATGTATTTGTAACTTTGGGGTTAATGATGCTGTAAAGGAGCAGCAGCCGCTACTGGTACATGCCAGCTTATGTGAGTTACTTCCGCATGTTTCACTATCCCAAAATTAACGCAGACAAAGAAACCAACTTGGATAGTGCCTAAAGATGGGCGGCGTCGTGGCACGCGCTGACCGGATAGTATTGCAGAAATTCAGTGTAATGTATTGTGAAAAATCACTAGGATCATTTTGGAATGTGCAGCTGGCTTGGAGGTGGCAAGAACTATGGACCTAAATATGTTCAATTTGCATTTCGCCGTCAGTGCTCAAGTACATATTCTTAAGGTCATAAGCCCAAGCCTCGTAACCTCTGCCCATCTCCCCTTGCTATGAAATCCTCCGCCTACAGCCAAATTAACAAACTCAACGGAACCAACTTCCGCATCTGCAAGTTTAACTGCAGATGGTGAAACATGACCGGGGGAAGGCCGAGTCTGGGAAACCCAAGTTTAAGCACTTCGCCACCTATCTGTTCCAATCGAGGTACAAGAAGAAGTCGCGCAAAGGCCGTGTTGATCATCTGCTCGTGATTAAAGATGCGCCATTGTCGTTGATTTGGTCGCGAATAGCGCGCACGATGCATCGTCATGTCTTGAGTCGCGTTTTTAACAAAGAAATTGGCCAATAAGCTTTTTATTCGTCGACGCTTCTTCATGACAATGATGGCCGATGTTATCATGTGCTGGAGCACACAAACTAGGTCAAGACGCTGACAAACCAACTCGACGTTGTAGGGAACGACATGATCACTACGCCTTGGTAATTTGAAGCGAGTCAAATGCGACGATTATAACGGTATTAGAGTTGAGAGCGGACTCGCTGTTGTGAAAGAAAGTGACATATCGGCTTTTTCATGAGGATATAAATCGCAAGGAATAGGGTAGCTGTCCTGATGTAGATGCCCGCCGGCAAAGTCCAGCGTTCATATCAACAGAGAATGAACTGTGTACAAGTTTTGTTCTTCTTCAACGACACTTGTCCTTGGTATAAAGACAAGTGTCATTGAAGAAGAACAGAACTGTAACTATTGCTGGGAACAACGGCGTTGGATTGCCGGATGCCCTACTCGGATTCGAGCGATAATTGTCGCTCGCAACGTGCAGCAAAAATGGATCTGAAGACTCTCTTTTCTCGGTCGGATACGTAGCGTGCATCTCCAAGCCGAGCAGTGTACGGCTGGTAAATTCAGGTGCGACGCTATAGATGATGTACTCGAAGTGTATATGAAGAAGCATGAGAAAGTTGCTCCAATAAACGTACATCTTCCGGACGACAATGTAGTGCAAGAGGTTGGTACAGGCGATATCACTACATCGATGATGACACCACGCGGGAAGAAAAAGGTTGTGCCAACAACGATTTGGTGCATTTCGGAGCTCTCGCGCAACTCGTTCTCCGCAGAATGATTTAGAAATGAGGGTTTAGTCACTTTAAGCAAGACAAATGCTTTGCCGAGCCGAAAAGCTATCGCCAAAACTTGGAGTCCATGAAGGCTAAGGACATATCAAGTTGTGTATGAAGCCTCGTCCACCACGTCGTACCTCTGGCACATCCGACTTGGCACATTAGCCATTACGGCTTGCCTACCCTTGTCACATAATGGTACGGCACTGGTATCAACCTGACATCAGTAAGCCAGTGGGAGCTATCTAATGGGGTGTTTTTGGAAAGATTTTCACCAAGCTGTCTACTGCTACGATACATGGGCGCTGTCTATGAACATGCTGTCAGCAGCTGCAATAGCGCATTTCGGCCCCACATCATGCCTAACAAGTGCTCGAAACCGCTCACATCGACGTATGCGGCCCAATCCAGACACCGATATTTAGTGAAAAGCACTTTTTGTCACGTTTATCGACGGAAGTCGCACTTTGGTGTTTTGTACCTGCTGGAAAAACAAGTCTAAGGTAGTCGATAAGTTTGCTATCTTTGCTGCGCTAGCCAAAATCAGACGAGTCAGCGTGTAAGCTATTTGGTGTGGTGATGGTGGAGATTACTCGTCGGACACACTGGCAAATTCTGTGCGCGGAAATGGATTATGCAGAAATTCAAGCCACCATGCACACCTTAGCTTAATGAATTTGCCGACCATATGGATTGTACGGTTGTTTAAAATGCTTGTAGTATGCTCAAACACGCTGCTTCGCCTAAGACTTATTAAAGTGAAGTTGTAGCGACTGCTACATTTCTCGAAACTGGTAGCCCTATACGCGCTGTCGGCAACAACGTGTCTATGCACCAAGTTTAATTCGACAAGAAGCTTTTGCAGGCAAACTTGAGAATTTCTGGCTAATATGTGTATGTCAAAGTTTCCTAAAAGTGATCCAAGTCTGACGCCCGCTCGCTTCGATGTCAAGTTAAGGAGGGGGCTTTTTGAAGCGCGATAAAGCACAATGGCTCGAGCAAATTGATGGTCGTCGCGTATGTTTTTTGTCGTGACGCGCAGTGATAGACGACATTGCATGACACAGCCTATCAGAATTGGCGATAAAACACCCGAATTTTGTCTGCTGGAGAAATCGCTATACTGGTTGAGCAATCGCCTCGTATGTAGGACAAGACGATCGACAAATTCATGCTCGGCTGGACTTCAACAAGTGCAATTCAGAACACTGCGTCTATATCGAACGTGATGATCGAACATGATTTTATCGCACTCTACATAGATGACCTAATTGTTGCCAGCAGTGATGTCAAATTACTTCAAGATAGCAGCCAAGCACTCAGTTGCCGGATCGAGATGGCAAAAATGGACCAGAATAAAGAAATCTTCGGAATCGAACCTGGGCAAGGCGTGATGAGTGGGACAGTAACGAAAAGTCAAATAACTTTAAGTCAGACATCTGGAGAACTTCAAATTTCAAAGTGCAATTCCACCAAGACGCCCCACATACCAGTCTGAAAATGGCCAAGGTCGAGTGCGAAGGATACTGCGGGCATGACAAGAAATAGTCGTTGTGCCTTATCGTAATACTGTGGGCTGTTCATGCATCTCATACTAGACACACCTTCGAACCTCGTAGCAGCAGAAGAAGCCTTATGTCAGTATGTGGCAAACTATGTCGAGCACACTGGCAACCGCTTAAGCAAGTCTTCAAATACATACAAGGCGCAGAGACCCATGGCATTAAATTTAAAGCTGCAAACGACTTTAGGCTTTAGGGCTACTCGAATGTCGACTGGACGAACAAGATTGCTTCAAGAGGAAACACAAGCGGTCAGGCCGTTTTGATGAGCGCTTGTCATCAGGAGAGCAAGGAGCCCAGCAATGTGACCCATTTATCGACAGAAGCTGTGCACATGGCGCTATCAAAAACAGCGCAAGAGGTTGTGTGGCTTAAAGTGGATAATATACGCTCGGCAAGATAATTAGTTGTACAAATTTTTGAAGATAATCGAGGAGCTATCACGCCGACCAAGAATTCAGAGTTTTACAAGTGCACGAAACATATCGACATCCACTATCACTTCGCTAGCAAAAAAGTCGAAGACGGTCAAGCCGTGCTCAGTTATGTCTCGCCCGAAGATATTTTTGCAGTCAGTACCAGCAACGCTGTTCAGCACTCGTCGCTGAAAGCAATTTTTATGCAGAAGCAATGACCGAGTCATTTCGGAGTGTTGCCAAGGATGTGTCTCGACGAGCTTCCGCTATCAGAAGATACCAGTACATACCAGTACGCATCTGTTACTTTCGCATTCCACGCTATCCCAGCGGTGATGCAGGCAAAAATATAACTTATATCGTGCCCGGTACTTGATGGTCAGTAAGTAGTTGTGTAGTGTATCGTAAAGATTTACTGCGAACAATTTAAAGTTTTAGCTGGCTTAGAGGAAGCAGAAAGATTTGAATCCTAAGGACCTAAATACGTTTACTTAATATTTTGCCAGCCAGGTTGAAGTAACTTTTTTTCAACTCGCGCTCTCGTAGGCCATATGGGCTGGGCATGCAGTACAAACGGTTTGATCAATAAAAATGTAAATAGATTGATACAGTCACCCTCCGGGTTAGACATTTATGTCAGTCATGAGAGTAAATGTGGGAACAAATGACTGTGAGTTGTGATCTCAAGAGTATATCGTTGGTGCTGTGTTACATAACACCTGTAAGCTGGTGAATGGTGCACCCAAGATGGTGGAGAGTAAAGCAACGTGGTGTCGCAGTCTTCCGTGTTGGAGCTAAACAAAATAAGGGTGACTGCAAATTATGATTAAAGCGGCAAGGCCATAGCACTTAGCATTGGCTAATCGTTGTCACAACTTTACGATTTTGCTGATTTGGCACTACTGTATTACGATAACAACGGACAAAAAAGCTCCGTGCGGAGCCGCGTGAAGTATTTTCCTCGTTCATGACATACTCCTGGAGGCTGTAAATCTCCCTTTACTCCCACCGACAAAAAATATTGTGAAACTGAACGAATTATATTAGTTTTTTTAAGAATGTTAAACTTTTGAGGTCATCTAAATATTTACGATATTTAATGCGCTTAAAATGATAAATTTGCCAAGTTCTTTGGTAGTGTCGGGATTGGTGGAGAGTGAGCTCATCATCCGACATTTTTGATAATATTAAATAGTCATTAGCACACCCTTGAATGTAAGGATGGAAAAGCTGTCCTCTTGGACCCTACAAACTATTCTTGTGAATTGGTGAAAATTATGACAAGAGATTTATTACGCGTGCGGCCCCCGGATCGTTTTGCGTCATATAATTGACCTTGTT